ATATATATATATATATATATATATATATATATATATATATATATAAATACATACTGTACTCAAATAAATGTTAATATATATATATATATATATATATATATATATATATATATAAAATTATTTCCACAGCACATGTTCTTTAAGTGGGAGGACATATCTAAAAACACAGTGTTACGATATTTATTTATTCATTAATTTAATATTCTCCACATATCGTAATATTATATATTATGTGATATTATTTATAATTCCCCCTTGACGTTTAAATTGCTAGAATGTAAATTCTGCGATGACAGACGCTTGCGGTAACCGTCGAAGTAACCAACGACTCGCATCGAGATCTAGATAGGTAATCAGCATCGTAAAAACGGCCAGCAATGAGAGATATAACGTACTCTTTTTAATTAATTTGGCGCGTATGATGTATCGGGTCTTTATTCTCTCGCTTTTTGCGAATGTTTGTTGAACCGTATGTGTAAAATATTTATCATTTCTGCTTGAATAATCATGATTTGCCGTTATGTGTATATGCGTGCATGCGTGTGCCGATGGTCTGGTTTTGCCACTTGTATCGTTGACGTGAATTAAATATTCCTCGCCGCGAGACGCATAAATAAATGAAATGGATTAAAATAGCGTCAGAGCGAACAAAAAGCCTTGGCAATTTGAAACCGTTTGTTTCGACGAGCAAAAGGTAAAAGTATAACGTCTTCTCCGTGCAATTTATATTAAATGCTAAGTATTACACGTTACATGTTACAAAACGTAAACGTGATGTTTTACACATTAAGTTTCAAGATGTGGGGAGAAAATGGATTGTTGTTAAATCAAAATATTATTTTTACGAAGCATGCAGAGTATGTAGTTTCACGCTCGACGCTTGTTAAAACTAATGCTTTCGTTTTTAATTACTTCGCTGTTTAGCTTCTAGCTAAGAGCACTTCTCCCGCTCTTATTCATACGACCCATTAAAGTATTCTCTGATGCTTCGAAGTTAAAGCATACTACTTCAGGTAAGAGCTCAAGTCGAAATTTTGTCCCTACATTAACCCTGCGAATTCTGTCGAACTTCTGTCGAAGGACTAGTGTAAAATCTCGACATATCGTAAGTCGTAATTTTCGTCCCATATTAACCCTGCAAATTCCAATAAACTTAAAGGACACTTAAAGGATACAGGCTATTGTGCTACTTTGATGTAATAAAGAATGTTTAATGCCGTTTTCTCACTGTCGAATTGCTCTTAAAGAAGGATTTACTTCGGCATCACTTAGTATTCAATTATCTCAATATTCTACCTGCACTCAATATTCCTCCTTAATTACAATAAGCTATTTATTAAAATTTAACTGCAGATAGAATATATACTTACAGAGTAAACTTTCAGTAATTTAATAATGGTAATGTAAGCAATATTCCTCCTTAATTACAATAAGCTATTTATTAAAATTTAACTGCAGATAGAATATATACTTACAGAGTAAACTTTCAGTAATTTAATAATGGTAATGTAAGCAATATTCCTCCTTAATTACAATAAGCTATTTATTAAAATTTAACTGCAGATAGAATATATACTTACAGAGTAAACTTTCAGTAATTTAATAATGGTAATGTAAGCAATATTCCTCCTTAATTACAATAAGCTATTTATTAAAATTTAACTGCAGATAGAATATATACTTACAGAGTAAACATTCAGTAATTTAATAATGGTAATGTAAGCAAATATAATTAATGGATAAAAGAAACATACACATAACAAATTTTGTTTCCTTGTAATTTTACATGTACTTTCAATTAATAACGGATTAAATAATTTAATGAATATTAAATAAGAAGTGATAAATAAATAAGAGTGATATAAATAAGTGGTGAATAAGGTAAACGAAACAACAAACTTTTCTTTTTGTGACTTTTTTATTATCATGTTTTTTGACGTTAAAATACTCAATAAGATATTTGAGGGTTCAAAAAAACAGAGAAAAGAAAGGAATTAGAATGATAAAAATTATAGCAATAATACTGTGTACTAATTAGAACTTTAATTTTAGATTTGGTAAAAGAATTCAGCAATGATAATCCATGAGACATATATAACGATAACTCCTAAGACATAAGTGGAAAAGAAGATGTTGGCCTCGAGGTAGGGCTCGTCAAATATTGCAAAAACGTTGATTGTTGTGATTTCCTGGTTGTGAGCAGCCGGGATGAAATTATTAGTTGGTAGACGACGACGATTAATAAATGATGGTTGGTAGTTAAGAATTTTGCAGGCTGTTTTTTTGAATTACTGCGCGTCATCCATATTTTTCCGTGAGCGAGACATTATTTTTCGAGTCGACGAGTAATGTACGTACGTGTATCCTGCACGTTATTTACATTTACTGCCGGTCTTTAAAACATTTAATTAGGTTGTCATCGGCGTCACGTTTATTAACACACGTTTCTGTCTGATGAAATCATATTTGCGCGAGTGTCAGTGTGTCAGCCATGATAAAGCAGTCGAAAGCCAGAATACTGGGTACATATACGCAGGTGAATCCAATTATTTGTTATAAACAATTTTTCAATTCTTATGAATGCTTGATAACAACGTTTGATAATATGTCAAAAAACGACACAGTGAATAAAATTTTTTATTACAATTTATTAAAATTTTTTATCACCATTATATATAAATATATCATTGTTTAATATTGTATAATATAATTTAATAATAATAGAAATGATTAATAATTATATCACGTAATAAATACAATTATCTTAATATATATATTCTACTTGTTTTTAATATTTTATTTTTTACACGCGTTCAACTTCTTTATTCTTAATTTCAATTAGCAATGTATTAATTATATAAGTTACTTATATAATTAATACACTGTAGTTACTTATATAATTAATTATATAAGTAACTACAGAGATAAGCAAATACAAAACCGGTATGCACATTGATAAATTATTTAATATTATTTATAATCTTTAATCAAGAGAGTAATTAATGACAAGCTCTTATTTATTGACTGTTATTATTTGTATTATTAGTCGTATAGATCTTTGTTTCTTGTTATATAAAATAAATACAAATACACGTTAACAAATAGATTTATGAAGATATGAATATTTCTCATATAATGAGAGACTATGAATACCGGCCTGAATTTTGACTCTTTATTTTTAGTGATGTAACAATATATAATTGTAATATTACTTAACAATTATATATGTATTCATTAAACAATTCTGAAATAGATATTTCTATAAGCTACAACATGGGAAGAAACGACAGTAAATAAAATTTTGTAGCATTAAAAAAGCTAAAATAGACTGTATTACCTCGAGTTTCTCCATTCGGCGTAAGAATCCGGCGAAATTTGTATAGTTAATGTAAAATCTAAATTTCGACCAGCAGGATTGCCGTAAGAACGATGAAAATGTAAACGTGTCGAACGCAGTATGCACTGAAAAAGCACACAAATGTAAATAAATGTCGCAAGAAAAATGTAGTCATTTCAGTTAGTGAGATGCAGTTCGTTTCGAGTGCTTTTGATGCGGAAAACGCTGTAATGGCATTTGCGCACCGCATATTCGTCGAAAAACAGTTCAGAAATACGAACTATACATATAATGATTCATTTAGAAAAAATTCCGTTTTCACCGAAACAAAATTCAGCGTATAAATTTGGCACAATTTTTTGGGGAAAAAGAGTTTACGTTACTTTTCATTGTCGACCGTAAAAAAGTTAAATCGACGAGGAATGAAGTTTCCTTTTTTATACCTACATAAAAAAAATAAAACCGGTTAACGATCGAAATCTTTATGTGCAAAGTTAAAGCCGAATGTTCAATTAAGCATTAAATGTTCTATGATAAGCGGTCAACTGTTGCAATATTATTCGAGGGGACGTCGATTTCGTCTTGGAAAACATATCGATATATATATACCTTGTCCATTCGCGCTGGCGGCGTTCTCATGTTTTATCCGACGAGGTACGTATCCGCCGACCCTGGGTTTATCTTACCGCAGAGACGAACGATCGATGACGACTATGATAAGCAATCCCGGTGCCCGAGGGGTTTGTGCTTTATCGCCCATCATCGCGATCTTCGTGGGCCCCATTCTCGAACTACATTATACACACACAAGGGCATGCCACCGTGCACACACACACACACACACACACACATATATATACACCAAGCACAAACATACACGCTCACACATAACGCGCAAATCGCAGCGTGGAAAACACATCCGCGGATATATCGAGGAACTCGCGAGCGCGAATCACGCTCCAATATCGCGGCGTGCTCGACATTTTCTCAGATCACGCTCGGGCTCAGGCTCGTGAACTTTCGGCGATTCGTTTACGTATCGGCTGCCATCAGATTTCTTCGACTTGTATGTACTTCTACACACGGACGTATATGCACATGTGTGTGTATAAGTATGATATCGCGTGCCGGCACTGCAGATGATGTCGACTATGGAAAACATTGTTACACTCGTCGCTACATCGTTCACGTTAATAGTTTGGAAACGCGGCGAATGAATCGTAACAATCATGTTGATTTTTATGAGACTCTCGACCCATGCGAATAACACCATTGGGACTCATGATTATTTATTATTATTACGAAGAATAATGTGAATATGCATTATTTGGGTATTTAGCGATATTTCATTTGTTTCTTCGTTATTATCCGATCTCTTGACACTAATCTGACACATTATTGAAGTCGTTTTCGACGCCAACGATTTTTAATTTTGAATTACCCGCAAACTAGTGGAATGAGGACTTTCGGTTTATGCAAAAAGATCAGTGCGTATATGAGGTTTAAGCATTGTTGAGCCATTTCGATTATTTGTCATATAACAAAAAGCAAAGTTGCTATAGAGTCGTTTTTGATAATCCAGTATGCAAGATGGAGAGAGAGAGAGAGAGAGAGAGAGAGAGAGAGAGAGAGAGAGAGAGAGATCAAAATATAAAATAAAGACGACTTTTAGTTATATTTCACTTTTTCACATTAACTCTTTCGCTACCAACGAAACATATTTTTTTGCTACTAATAACATTATTCAATTGAATAAACAATTTTTTTGACATTCAGAACATATCAGCTATCACTTTACTTATTATATATATACGATGGGATAAATATTTCCTCCTGAAAACATTAGAGACATCAGTGTCCTGGCTCTATCCCTTTCGCGTCAAACATAAAACTTTTTTTTGCTAAAACATTATATATTAACGTATTTAATGAAGTAAAAGTAAAAAAAATCATTGTATCTTTGAAAAGCAAAATTAGTTAAATATAGCATATAAAAACAGTTTTATACGAGTAGAATACCTCAGAATTCTACGTGTTAAATAGCAAAAATATTTACCTATCGTCACTAGTGTTGCTAGAAAAAAAATTTATTTATACTAAATGTCAAAGCACAAGATCACAGATCACAAATCGTAACTACCAATCACAAATATATTCTCTAAATTTCTTAGAGTGAAATTTCACTCGAAAGAATTTCGTCGAGTCACTTGAGCGATTTTCCACTCATATGGAGTGAATTCTCCACACAGAATTGTTGAGTAAATATTTCCATTCGATATTGAAAAGTGAATCTGATGTATTCCACTGTCAGAGGAACATATTCACTTTGATCGATTGAAACATTCACTCTTATAGAGTTAGAACATTCTAGGCTTGAGTGAAACACTTTTGCGAGTTCGAGAGGTAATATTTCCACTATCGTTTCGAGTGAAACTACTGTGCACATTTCGCTCATTTTGGGTGAGATTTCACTCCAAGGATTTTGGAGAGTAATCACAGATATATAATCTCTTGCCCGAAAATTGCGATACGCCAATCGTAAAAGGTCAAAGATGCTACAACTTCGATTGTAATGAAAAATCATATACAATGATACCAACATTTGTATTTATTATTTGTATTTGTTATTTATTATTGTATTAAAACCGGCAGAGAGCGCTGCCAATTTTGATGCAATATTCGCCGCGCGAGCAATAACAAACACTACCCGCTTCAAAAAGTCTCATTAGTGTGTGTGTGTGTGTCTCACTTGGCCATACACTTTGGGGTGTGGAGATAAACACGCAAGATCGCGCATGACGCTCAATTTTTGCAAGCTGGGAAAGAGGTATGTCCGTGAGACAGGTTATAATGCTTCCTATCGTGCTAAGATTATTATACGCAACAGCAACAACGAACACTTCAAGGATGATTTACAATATTACATGCTAACCTTATTAGATGTCAAAAAGCAGTACGATGCCGAGATCCTGGTAGAAATTTCACGCAATTTGTAAGCAGTTACTAAACAGTTATATTAACGTTTGCTCAGTAACTGACGAATAAAACTTAGATATAGAATTGTATTGCGACAAAAACACATTAGACTATCTTAGAAAGCATCTTACATTTCCTGTACAATTCCCTTATAGAAATATCATACTAAGAATCATTGATAATTACTTATTTTCAGTATTAAAAATACTGAATAATAAGTAATTATCAATGATTCTTAGTATGATATTTCTATAAGGGTTGTGAACATAAAGATTATCCGACTTTTTGTTGGCAACGTAATCTAAAAATTATCCAATGAGAGAATAGTACCTAAGAAATACGTTTCTTATATTGGACTATTCGGTTATATTCTGAAACTTATTACAAAAAATTAGATATTCTTTATGTCTACGATTGTACTGACTTTTATTAAAAATTAAAATTGTACAATAAGCAAGCATGCACACAATATCCATTATTACTAGCACAAAACTATCCATTTTATGAGCAATAAACTTATTAATAGTTTCTTTGTCCAATTATTGCTCAGTTCTCGATCAATAAATGAGTTCAGATACTACGCATTTTTTGTGCACAGTAACTGTAGACAAAGCATTACATCTTGATTGGGATCCTAACAGTTACTGTGCACAAAAAATGCGCAATATCTGAACTCATTTATTGACCGAGAACTGAGCAATAATTGGACAAAGAAACTATTAATAAGCAAGTTTATTGCTCATAAAATGGATAGTTTTGTGCTAGTAATAATGGATATTATGTGCATGCTTGCTTATTGTACAATTTTAATTTTTAATAAAAGTCAGTACAATCGTAGACATAAAGAATATCTGATTTTTTGTAATAAATTTCGGAATATAACCAAATAGTCCAATATAAGAAACGTATTTCTTAGGTACTATTCTCTCATTGGATAATTTTTAGATTACGTTGCCAACAAAAAGTCGGACAATATTTATGTCCACAATTGTACAGGAAATGTAAGGTGCTTTCTAAGATAGTCTAATGTGTTTTTGTCGCAATACAATTCTATATCATTAATATATAGCTCATTTGTCGTTTGCTCACTTTCAACTCTAACCTTATTTGTCACTTCTGCTATAGCGTGTTGTTTTGTTAAATTCCAGATTTCCTCCAACTTCCTTGCTCTATGTTTTGCTACGCGTTCATTTATTCTTTACATAGTTTTAAAATCGTCTCTATACAATGTAATTTTTATCATGCACATGTCTATGCGATATAAAACTTAATAAAACTATGTTCAGTTTCTTTCCAGTTTTTGCGCAGTTTCGATACAACTATGAAATACAGTAATATTAGACAGTAACTGATTAGGTGTCTAGTAAAACTGCATAGATTTCTACTAGGGGAGTTCGCATTCTTAACTTTTTGACTAACTTCCCTACTGCGTGTGCTGCAACTAATCAAGAAATCTGTTTCTTGTCTCAGATCTAACAGAATCCACGGTCACCACGAATAGATGTAGGATTAAAGGATGCAAACGTAGTCCGGAAGACTCAGTTCGGAAGACCTGGTTTGGGTCAAGCAAAGTCGGCACGAAGGTAACTCGCTGTACTTTTTATCTCTGCGCTTGAAAATTGGCATACAGTTGTCAAAGTAAAAATCGCGAAGTTTCGATCGCAGATGTTAGAATCAAGTTAGGTTAGATTAGATTTGTACTAGCTGAGTTCTTTTGGTCAAGCTTAGTTTAAAGTTATGTAAAGAGGCAACGCGCATTCGTATCGCTCGTAGGTTCTTTGTGTGTTAAGCTGCCCTCTCAAATCTAATCAACGAAACTTTAACTTCTTGTTCTAGATCTTGACATCAAAACATGTCTTTTAAATTAGCGAAATAAAATCAGCAGAATCAGTTTTAATCAATATTTTTACATGTTACTCATTTGTTACTCAAAATTTTCCAAAGAAAAAAGTTTGTAGTTCTGTTAGCTTTTTTTGTAATCTGATGTTCCGCTAACGGAAGATTAAGTTAGCGGAATATATATATATATAACAACGAAATTGTACATAACGAAGACAGAAACATTTGTTGCTCATTTATTTTTCTCGAAATAAATAGCATAATAGTATAATAATTACTATATTATATTATATTATTACTATATTATATTATACTATAGACAATGTAGAACTTATGTTAAATAGCTGAAGCTACGGAATTTATTCGTTATAATACATAACTATTCATTCACTTAGTATGATCTCTTAATAGTCTTAATAGAACATTAGTCTTATATAACGCGTATCAGAATTGAGCCACCATACGCCGAATTGACGAATATTTTAATCACATTGATAGATTTTATGATAGAAACTTCTACATTTTACTCGCGTATTTTCTTAGGACGTTTTGTAAATAGAAATGAATCTTAATAGATTCAATTCAGTATCGCGTAAGCTACGATAAAGTAACGCGAAGCTGACATACGAATCTGACGTAATGATTTCACGCTTTTCTTTTAATTATTTTGCTCACGAAATGACTTGAACGAGTTGATTTCATGGTCGCAAAAAAATTTTAGTTTTCCACTTTTTATATCGAATTTACCACGTGAAATAAATATGCTACATATTATTAAAAGTATAAGAGAGTGACATAAAATTTTTTGTTTGTTTACGCGTCGCGTAGTTGCGATCGTTAAAGAGAACCACAACTTTTGAGTGTTTACGATTATACTTTGTTGGCGTATGCGTTAATGTACTTCGCAATTGCCATGGTTCCTGGCTTTTGGTCTTTTATATTAACGTTCGCGTTCGCGATTACACTTTTAGAGAATTACGAATTACATTACATTTAAACTCGCGGAAACATTTCGAAAGCAAACTTCGCGGAAGTATTGTGGAATAGTTTCCGCACCAGTTTTGCAGAGTAATCTCCGTGCTATGCTACAGAACAGTTTCCGCATTAGTATTGTGAAGCCACTCTGCATGAGAATCTCACTCCACTCGTCAACCTGCGTGTTGCGTTGACATATCTCATGATAGACGCGACTAATCTTTAACCCTTTGAGTTATAGTGGGATCCTATCGTCCCACCTATCTTTCCTTTATTTTCAGTGATATTATCTTATATTGGCAAAAACGTAGTCGATTACATTATTACACGCGCTCTCTTTTATAAATATAAGGTATTAAGAATAAGTAAAAAAATAATTTGAATATTTATAATTGTTAGATTATTATAAGCAAATGCAAATAAAACAAAAGACACTTTTTCAGATGACAATCATTTTAGATCTAACTATTAGAAATCGAAACATTAATAGTTTATTAAAGACAATTAATAGTATTTTACATATTTTGCTCAAAATCTTTTGCAAATCGTATTTTTTACAATCACAAATATATAAAATAAAGCTTATTTTCTCAATATGAAAAAAAATATTTGTTACAGTTATAGTTTGTTATAGTTTTTTTACACAAGAAATTTGCAACAAATATATTTATCAATATTTCAATAGTTTATTACAAAAAATAGACTTTGTCGACCTAGTTTTATTTTAATTTTACTTGGTTTGTATCTGCTTTATAAGGTAGCAGCCATGGTATAAAATCGAGCAATTAAGAGCAACTATTGACGCCGTTAATAGTGCGACAATGATATTTATAATTACAAAAATATATAAAATTATAAAATATGTAAAATTATAAAAATATATAACATATATTAAATATATAAAATAAAAAAAATACAAATGTTTCGGTCCTAACATTTAAAACCTTTTCAGTATGACATGAAATTATAACAATACAAAAAGTTGTAGTGATGTGATCGACTAACATATCGAGCGACTGATACCCAAATTTTTATGGTTGCTATCTTATAAAGCAGATATAAACATTAAAATGAAATATCGATTTTTTACAATAAACTATTGAAATATTGATAAATATGTTTGCTGCAAGTTTCTTATGTAAAAAATGCAACTATTTCTTTTTCATATCGAGAAAATATTATTATTTCCAAATAATGCTAAAAGCGAGATTGCTAATTTTGAAAACTTGTCGTCATATTGAACTCGCTATTTTGAGTTTTGAATTTTAATCTTAAATTCGTGATCAACGACTCCAGGATTTCTCATATGCCAGATTTGAAGAAACTTTATTGGAAAATAAAATGCATGGCTCAAAAGGTTAATTGTGTGTCGCGTTTCCTTCACTCGAAAATTTTAAATTCATTTGCAATTTTCAATTTCACGGTTTTTGCTATCGATTTCCTACATTTGATTCGAGCCGCTTCTGCATGAAAATGACATAGCATGTCACGAATTCGCAAAACGGGAAATCTACCTCTCGGAAAATGGAATCATGATAATATTTTTAATATTTTCGATTCCGCTGAAGATCACCGCAGTCTTTGGTCGCGATTTTTCACACACGGTTAGCCGTTTAAATATGATTTTTCGTTAATCGAATTTGTAGGTCCTACCTTCAAAGATAAAAGTCAAAATTTTTTATGAATGTTGTCGAAATGTCCTCATGAATATTTGGACATAAACATTTACTGAACATTAATCGCGTTGCGAAAAGTGTGAAGTGCTATTATCAACGTGGGACGAGGTCGGAGGTCGGATGCGGAACAATGTAGTTTTAGTTGCAGTAGCGAGTGAATCTGGTTAGATTTTGATAGATTTCTACGCTAATGGTGAATTATGAATTTTATCATTCACAAAATGATTATGATAATCTATATGTATAGTAAATCGCATTGGTTCCCAGCGAGAAAGGTAATAATACAGTTATGTACTGCTGTTTAAGAATATTCGCTTGATTTAAGCTTAGAAGATTGATTTCATTTATTACATTTTCTATCAATATAAAGTGTCGAAAATATATTGCTAAAATAGTATGGCAACATTTCAAAGATTAATGCAGTTATATGGGTTTAAACTAGGGCGTAGAAATAAATTACTTGAATTTCGGGCTTGGGTTCAATACTCACCTACATTGAGAAAAAAATATCTGAAAAATAGTAAATATTTATTTAGTGGGGTGCTAACAAAATTTATTTAAATCTAGATTCTTTTATTTAAATGGATAAATAATTGCTTTCATGAGGAGTTTAAGTTTTTTAAGGTTTTAAGGATATTTTTAAGGAAATTTATATTTTCTTTTTGAAAAGTATTTTATATTAGTATAAATAAATGTGTGTGTTATTATAGTGTGCATACCGAATTTTATTTCTTAAATATTTTTTCTCTCAGTACTATATGACTTAAATATAATATTCTTTAGGGCTATTATACACACTTTTGAAGTGTGTGTTAGTAATTGTGGCAGATGAGCCCAATCATGGCAGCCAATAAAGATGTTTTTTGACATGTTCTGTCCCATTGAATTGTTTTAACAAACACTATTCTTTTACATACAATTCACACATATTCTTTAAGTATGTATAATTAAATGTGGGCAAAAATGCATTTTGAAATATTTTATAGTTCTTTAAAAAAATTCCTAACATGACCTATTTTTAATTTGATTTAAGTAAATATCCTTTTAGCATTATGAAAATATAATATTTTATATTTTCTGTGGAAAACGTTTGAATAAAAATACTGAGATCATAATAGTCAGCCAGTATCGGGTAATTTTGTATGTGATATGAAGATTTTTCTATTTTGAGGTTTGATATATCAGTAAATTTAAATTTACCAAATTTAAATTAATTTTAGATTATTAAGATAATTTAGATTAATAAATTTAAATAAAGACTGGTAGATTAGTAAATTATATATTTTAAAAATTGGTTGATTAGTAAATAATAAAATAATATTAATAATAATTAAGTATAATAATTACTTTTAAGAAGTAACTGATCAGTCATTAAAGCTTTCCTTCAAACAAAGAACTGAGTAACTTGCACGTAACAGTGCAAATTTGTCATTAGTTATTCATTTGTTAATATTAGCTTATTGATACAGCGTATACGTTCTGAAATCAAGAGACGAAATCAGCTGAACTGTGAAAATCAATATTGGTTGATCTGCGCGAATCAATAAGAGATTTCGGTTCGCGGCGTGCACACGTACTGGCGCGTTTGAGGATGCGAAATCTGCATGACACATCGGCAAACATTATTCAGGCATAACTGGAAAACAGTCCCGACCTGGACATTTGAATATTAGGATTAATAATCATGATTATAAGTTTAATAATTATACGCTAGGTAATAAATAGCTATATATTAAATTATAATTTTAGAATGCGCTGTAAGATATATCATTATCGTTTGATAATTTCTCTCTCTCCTTATTTGCTGCCGATCAATCTATCATTATTTATCGATGTCGAATGGAAATGGTGCACGCGCTGATAATCGCGTCATCAAATGTAATTATCTTTTTAATTCCAACGCGCAAATTGTGATCGTGAGTACGGTGTCGTGTTCAAATTAAATCGCATGTGACGCAATCGTGATGCTCGGTGAAGCAGGCTGCTTTATATTCGTTACCACAATTAATCCATGCTTAACGGTAATGCAATTCGCGTGCAGCGATAGCAGAAAGTAATCTATAATACGCTGACAAGCTTGCGCGCTCATTAAC